TGTTTGGTAAGATATCCTTTTCCTCAAGCTCCTGACGACAGGGAGGTAAGCCTGGGCTTTTAATTTACCATACTGCGAATAACCGGTGCCTTATTAAGTTTTGATGTTGTGCTTTTAGCATTCATGGTTTATTGTCTGAATTAATGACTTGATTGTTGTTGTGATGGGTTGTCTAGTCAACTGCACTTCGTAGCAACATCTGTACAACAGAATCAGACACTGCCCGGTCCTGCAGCATCTGCATGGTTATTGTGTTTTAGCTCATTGTTGCAATCACTGTGCCAATCCACTTCATGGAGCGTCTTCCTAAGAGCAAAGTCTCCCCATCCTTGTTTCTACGGAGCATTCTGACTGTCCTTCCTCCGAGATAGATTTTTTGTTCTTTGGAACTTCATGGCATGTTCAATAATCTTCTCCAGCACCATAATTCCAATGTAATATGATGTCTCCCTCATTCATTGTCCGAATTTTGCATGTCTCTGAGGTCATTGAAAGCACCACGGCTTGAGTCGGGCACACAACTTAGTCCTCAAAATGGCATCCTTGCTCTTTAACCCGTGGGAAAACTTCATATTGTGAATTAGGCGGTAGATTACACTTCTGCTAACCACTTTTGTACTCCACAACTTAAACTACTTATCGAACTTACCGATAACTTGCCTTGTTTTTTTCTTTTTGTCTAAGATGCATTCTTTGCCCTCAGACAATTCTCCAAGGCACCCTTGTTCCTTTTATCATGGAATAGTTTTTAAGGATCAATGTTATTGGGCTGCCTTTGCTCCTAACCATTTAAATTGATAGAGCTAAGAATTGTATTTTTTTAAGAAAAAAAAAAGTTTTAATAGTTCATAGTGATGTCTCCAATTCAAAAGTTTGTTTGTTTGTTCTCTTGCATGAATTATCTTGGTTCCTAGCAACACTAACCGGACTGTGTGCTTTATTTTATACATAAACTAGCTAACATTGCAAGTGCTGCCTCACATTCTGTGGAAACGGTGAGAGATGAGGCCATAGCTGGTGCCGTGAGGCAGATGTCAGACATGTCTCTACCCTCTTTTCTTCTTTACCCTATTCTGACACCAACCATTCCTCCCATGACACTGAACTTTTCTACTGGGTTTAATAATCTGTTGCAATGACTACACAGACCTCATGACAATACTCCTGTTTATTCAACATGTGAAACTCATCCTCACTGCCATTGAGTTAATTCTGACTCACAGCAACCCTATACAACAGAGTAGAGAACCGGGAACACAGGGAATCCAGGACAGATGAACCCCTCAGGACCAGTGGTGAGAGTGGCGACACCGGGAGGGTGAAGGAGGGTGGGGTGGAAAGGTGGAACAGATTACAAGGATCTACATATAACTCCCTCCCTGGGGGACAGACAACAGAAAAGTGGGTAAAGGGAGATGTTGGAGTGTAAGACATGACAAAATAATAATAATTTATAAACTATCAAGGGTTCATGGAGGAGGGGAGCAGGGAGGGAGGGGAAAATGAGCTGATACCAAGGGCTCAAGTAGAAAACAAATGTTTTAAGAATGATGATGGCAACAAATGTACAAAAGCGCTCGACACAATGGATGTATGTATGGATTGTGGTAAGAGTTGTAAAAGCCCCCAATAAAATGATTTAGAAAACAAAGAAAGTTTGGTACCACTAGATCTTCCTACAAGAAATGCTAAAGAAAATGAGTCACCACAGTGGAAACAATGGTCATCTCAGCGCGCTGTCAAGAATGTACCCAGTGTCACTGAACAATTCCTGCAGAAATATTTGAATGGGAGCCTAACCCGCTGGGTATGCTTTTGCCAAAAACACAATACAATCTTTATAATTATTATTTAACGCTAGGGAGTCCTTCAGATGCAAAAGGAAGAACACTAGTAAATCGGAGCTAGCAATGAGATAAAAAAAAAATTCCATTAAAGGTAACCTCATGGGCAAGGGTCTAAGTGCCAGAGTTAAAGTATTTTTTATCTCTAATTATAATTGCTAGACCCATCATGCTTTATAAATACAGAAAGAACAAGCATAAAGTTATGTCATAGGATAATACAAAAGGAAAATCCAGGCCAGGAGGCCAAATCCTGGTTCTGCCTGCATTGACACAAGACAAGATTGGGGGAAAGCACTTCCTTATACCTTGACTCAGCTTCTCTCTGCAAACCAGCAATACCATAGTGCCCCCCACTCACTGTCATTCTTGTTTTTGTTTTTTTTAATTTTAATCATTTTATTAGGGGCTCATACAACTCTTATCACAATCCATACATACATCAATTGTGTAAAGCGCATTTGTACATTCATTGCCCTCATCATTCTCAAAACATTTCCTCTCCACTTAAGCCCCCGGCATTAGGTCCTCATTTTTCCCCTCCCTCCCCACTCCCCTCTCCCTCATGAGCCCTTGATAATTTATAAATTGTTATTTTGTCATACAACACTTAGAATAGCACTTGGAAACCATCGGGAGGCTTGCTATGCGCTTGAATGCAAAATTGATGATCTAACCTATAAACCCTTTCCGAATTAACAATAAAAAGGTTTTTAAAAGCTGCTTGAAAAACTGACAAATGCCACAAGCATACTGTTTCTAATGATTTAGCTATTTACTGTTTTATGATTTAAGTCTAAGTCCAGGATTTCAGAGATGGAGAAATCGGGGCTCTGAGAGAGGAGACTTGCTCAAAGCCTCACAGACGTGCAGTCAGCAGACCTTTCACATTTGATTAAATCTGCTCAGGTTCAGAATATAAGATTACATTAACTATTAGGGGGGAAATTAATGCAAACAAGTGTGGATCAGAAGAAAACATGGGTGATGAAATTGGTTGTGTAGGTGTGGTAAAATAGAAGGTAGTTTTTTTTTTAATTTCTGCATTTTCATGTTATTCACACACTAAGTAAGCAATCTGGGAGTGGGGAAGGCACAGTATAGTTACATATTACGCACATTTGCTTTTAATCAGTTTTACTACCACCTCCAAGAAAACTTTGGAAACTAGGACTATGTCACAATTGCTCCAATTTGTACTGTCAATTAGGATAGACTGGAATAATCAAAGTAAATTTCACACAGGTAAGAGATGTGAATTGATCAGAGAGGACACATCATATTTAGACAGGAAAGGGGAGAAAGTGCATGAGAAACGAATCCTCTGTGGACAGTGGTAAAGGGGCAGCATTAAGTATATTATAAGCAAAGGGTATTGAGGTAATAAAGGCTTAACTGAAAAAGACATGAGTTCTGTGACAGCTATTTAATTTGACTTTCAATCAGGTAGCTTTCTAAGCCAAATAAACAAACTCTAAAAAGTCAAGAAAACAGGTTTGATTAAAAAGAGATGAATAAAAATAATGTATTCCTATCCTTTAAAAAAATCAACTTACCCATTGGAGTCAAACAGGCTTCTGAAATCATATAAATTATCTTCCCACGACATGTTTCTGCAGACAGTCACGCTGAAAAACACACACGTACACACACACAGAGGAACCTCTGGAGTGACAGGACCACCCACTCAGAACAACATCCTGCATCAGAGAGGGGGGCCCTACTGAAAGAGCTCACCGCCTATGGCTCCTTCTGCCCCAGTGGACAAACGTGGTCTCATTTTAACCACGTATGAATTCATTCCTAAAGGAGTTCTCTTCTGTAGAAGCATAGACAGGAAATGTGCTGGAGCTGGGGCGGAGGGAATCAGAAGAAATACTTTTACTTTACAGGGTGAAAAGAGGGGCGTACTACCCTGATAAAAGGGCATTTAGATACAACTGAAGGGATGAGCTCCCCAAACTTAAGGCCCGGTCCACCCTCAGCTCATTTCCATATCAACAGCGTACGGATGTTGTCTTTATTCATGGCAGGGAAGTGAAGGGTAGGAGCTGCTAACTTACCCAAGGCTAGGGCTGAAGCGTCAAGGTTGACCTTTCCTCCACACCGTGCTTAAGAGGGCAAGCCCTTCATGCAAAGCCCCGCCTCCTTATCCCTAAGGGCACCAGGTATTTCCCAATCAGTGGTTCATTCCTTTGAGGTAAATAATTACATTCTGTTAACTGCAGATGCTCCTGGAAGACATCAAGCTACACTACACAAAGAGAAACTCCTTTCAGAGGAATTTCCAATATACTCTGAGTGGGGTGGGAAGGACACTCCCCAGAAAGCACTCTGATAAAAGTCCTGCTGCTCAGAAGAGCACTGGGGCACCCGGCCCACAAGGGTGGGAAGGGTGGGGAGGAGCGTGCAAGGAGTGCTGAAAGGAAGGAAGGAAGAACGCAGCAGGGGACGCCAGAAGGGAAATCCAATAAGCACGTGGTCACCATGAGAAAAGCAGAAGGAGGCCTTGCCTTGATTGTGGACCTAGAACAAGCTTAGTTGTTAACTTGTTACACTTGATCTTAGCCAAAAGGCAGAGAAGTGATGTGTTGGATGTTCCTGAAATAAAAAGCTGGTTGGCTTTGTCATGAGTAAACTTCAGGCAAGGTGGCAGGATAAGCAGACCTCCTTCCCAGAACCTTTACAACAGGCTTAAGAACACAATAGGCAGAACAGGTGAATTGTCACGTGGCCTGACACAGCAAGGCCATCTTCAACCTTTGCGAGTACCATTTGCTTGGGACAGCGACTTTACATCACAGATGGCCAGACTGATGGCTGGTGACCAGAAAAATGGAATCCTCTCTGAGGTAGTTAGTTTATTGTGCCAACCTGGCCGATAAACACATGTGGGATTATCTGAAGGGCGGAGGGATAAATGGCTCAGTGAGCCTCACCTTTCTAGTTCTTGGGTCTCTTGCTTTCTGATACTCAGAACAGGGTGCAGCTGCCTTAGCCAATTCCCTGCTTCAGCTGGCAAGCCTCACTTCCTGCAAGACATCCCTGAGGGGAAGCCACATGGACCTACCC